GTAATCCATCCGTCATGCATATTATAGAAGGAAGACTGTTCCTTATTAAAACATGCTTGGTGAAAAGTTTGTATTTGTCAAATTTGACCGTAGATACATTGTCTCAAAGGTCATATTCATATAAGCCCTGAGCTGAACTATATTACATGTGGAATAAGTAAAGTTTTTGAGAGGTTTAAAGTAGACGATCGAACTGGACCTAAGCTTTCTTTTCCATAGGAGTTCTAGTCATAGGATACGGCATTGGAAACTGTAATCAAAGAGCGAGTCAGTCTTAGGTATTCTGTGGGTGAAATCCCGTTGTTTCCCTTCCACTTCAAGTATATTTGATGGGAGTAAGATGAAAAACAAGAACGAAAAATATTCAAACATAGGTCTTACACACATTGTGAAGAATGATTTTAGATTCATTTTGAGCGAGGTTACGAAGAATGAAGCCTAGTAATTTCCTTATTTTAGATAATTTGTTGAATTATGCTCCGAGAAGTAAGGACGATATGAAGGATTTACATCTAGGTAAGTTACTGACGTGGATTTGGGCAGTGTGTTCCTAGTAATTGGTAGTTTTAATTTGAGAGACGTGTCTCTAATTCATAGCCAGCCACATTTCTCTGTGTTGAGCTCCAACCTCCACTGCTTGCACCGGTTGTCCATCTTAGTGAAGTCGTGTTGGATTATTTGCACAGTACTGTCGTGCCTGTAGGTAACCCTCGTTCTTTTGATAGAAGAAATAGGACTATTAGTGAATAGGTCTTTGTGTCGATCGTAGAGCTGTCACAGTGGAGCATGGGATTACTTGTTCAGACACAAAGCTTTTTAATATTTAATATAATATAATGAGAAATATAATGCCTATACAAAATAAGAAAGCGAATGAATACTTGACATCTATTGCTTTGACATTTACTTTGTTTCGATAATGTAATAAGAGGACGAAGATTATCAGAACTATGTGATATATTAGCGCAATACATTTCGAACAATTTGATCACACATAATACACTTGTTAAGAACGTTTATATATAAAAATAAAAAGTCAACTGGACTGGAAATGGAGTAAGAAGAGACAATGATAATAATAAGAGTAATAATAATAATACCGTGAACACAGTTTGAAACCTAATCACTCTGGATAATAGGTCAATATTACCAGGGTAGGTTTAAGGTGAGAACAAACTGTTGTTGGATATACAAAAGGGGCTTAAGTTTCCGTATAGCTAAGGCTTCAATAAGCCTTAGTATACGCCCTTTTACACTTTTATACAACACCACAAAAGCCGAGTTAAGATCGATCTTATGGCCTGTTCCGATTATATGTTTAGCAATAGAGGATGATGGATGTTTATCCTCTGCTCTTATTGGGTCATCAGCTAGATTTTCAACATGTGCCATGAACACATCTGTTAATATTGGTCCTAGCGGACTACCCATAGCAACCCCATCGATCTGACGAAAGTACTCACCTTCAAAAGTAAACTGTAAAAATAAAAAGAACTCAAAACTACCTGCACAACACCACTAGTTATTGGTTGAGGTGTAGAATTAGAGTCAATTTCGATTATTTGGCATCTGTTCACGAAAAAAATCTTCATCCATTAGGGGACTGAAGTCTGTTAATTGGGAGGTTATGAAGTACCTGATCAAAAGCTTTCTTATATCAAAATATAGTATAACCACTAGACTTTTGGTCGCGTATGAGAGTAATCTCAATAAAGAAGTCAATCAGGTATGTACTGCAGGACCTTGTTCGAATCAAGCTGTGTTGTGAAGAGGCTAATAGATCTTCCGTCAGTAGGTGATCGAATAGTTGATTTGTATCACCTTTTCCATTATGCCTGATATAACTGAAGTGATATTTATGGGTCTGTAGTTTTCGACCAGGTTTCTCGGTCCGGATTCGTGTTTGGGAAGAACATACGTTACCTTTCAGGTTTACAGATATGTACCTGTCTCTAAAGATAATGTGAATATTTCAAGTAATGGCGTCTGTATGTTCGGTCCTGACATTTTATAGAGGATTGATGGAATGCCATCGGCACCAGAACTCGCATTCGGCCTAAGGGTTTTGATGGCGGAATACATACCCCTACGATCAAAGTTAATGGTTCTAAGATAATTTTACGTTAATATCTGGGGCACGAAATGTATTCTCGTCGTGGTAATACCATCCACTTAACAGTTGACAAATAATAGTTTGGTCATAATACGTCATGCCATCCTGCAGTATAGTGTGAATATTGTGATCTGCATACTTTTTCATGCCTTTTTTCAAGGAGACGACATACGTTTTGGGCTTTAGATGCTGCAGTGAGCGCAGCACGTTTCTCTGCGTGCTAATGTTTGTTGTGTTGACTTTACACTCCTTCAAGCACAGAGTATATCTTGCTTTGGGCACTCAGGTCTTCCGATATAAAATACATCCTAATTTTTTAGTCGATATAGGGAGTAATTGTTTTAAAAGCAACTTTATAGAGAATAGTAGTATCTAGTGAAGAATTAGTGGCAGTATTGAATATTACTAATGTCTATATGCGGAAGTCAGACCATTGTTTATACTGATTCGTCCTATCTGACAATGAGCAATATATTGTTTAAGAGTTCTGAAGGTCACAATTGGTCTGAGAATAGAGCAATATAATTAGTAGAAAAAGGGACCGTTAGCACCTGCATGACCGGTCCATGCCATGACGATTAAATGTTCTCGCGTTTACCGTTCCTGAACTTCACTCCGTGTTAAATGTCGAATTTCACTCTTTTCAGCTTCAATGATCGTGTCGTTTGAAACCAAAAGAGCTAAACTCCTCTACCACCAGAATCAACATGACTTTGGTTAGATACGAAAGCAAGTGGTAATTGTGCGCGTTGTAGGTTACCGAGAGATTAATAAGAATCCTCCGGATAATGATAAACTGGAGTTAAACGAGAAAAGCACCATCGACCGATGGGAAAATAAATGTAACAATTTCATCATGTTTGGTTTTAGTCCAGACACTGTAAATGAAGTTTTCACGTTAAACATTATTTGGGAGTTAAACAAGTTAGAATTATGTTATTGCAGAACAGTTTAGTACAGAGACATCTAACAAATCACAATTACCAGTGGTTAATAGACTAACTTATGAACGATGGAAGTACTTGGTGACTAGATCAATAGTAATCAAATAGAATAATAACTTCGTGACTGTGTTGAACTTATCACTATCTTGGGTTCAAATTAGAAAGTCAGTCAGCGTTAATCACTACAAAGTATCTCTGGAAAACTCTGGTCGTAGCTGTTACTTGGCATTGAGGAGAAGATGCATACCCAAGTCCCCCAGATTCATGACCACTGGAAAACCTACAAGCCGAGAGACCTGTTACCTCACGAACCTAAGTGTAAAAGATCTCACTACCTCAGAGGTAGCGAATATGCTAATGCTAACCAAACCGGGAGTCTGCAGTTGCTGAACACCTCTCAACCCTCATGCCAGTTGAAAGTTGACATGCTATAATATACACTGGTCATAGAAACAGAATACAAACTTGCATTTCCTGGAATATGGGTCTTAGTAAGACCGAATCGCTCACTATAATAGTCAGAGCGCTTCACGGAGGAGCACTACTGCTCTTGATCTTTATCAACGATCTGTTAGATATCATCAGCCTAGCGGCACCAAACTATGCAGACGATGTGAAGATTTGGAGTTCCATGTGAAGAGAAACTGATTCGCTCGAGCTTAAGAAGGACCTTAAAACAAGAGAGTAATGAACAGTAGACAACGGTTTGAGTCTTGACTAGTTGAAATGTCATGTCATAAATATTTTTCCTCAATTGATGCAAAGCACTTGCACCCTCTACGGAAATCCTCCCCCGATTGTCTCCTCAGAGTATGATCTCAGGCTCGCAACCACGGAGAGGTTAAACATCAACCCAAACTACATGGGTTGCAGCTAAGACAAACGCAACTCTCCACTTCATGTGAAGATTATGTGGTGCAATCACCTCAGAGTTTTTCCTAACACCGTTTGAGGTGTACTCATGACCCTACCTTTCAGCTCATAATTTTATTGCGCCCCTCTCTCGAAAGAGACATAAGTTTCTTTGACCAAGTACCCATTAAATGATAGGGCTGAAACGGAAATCTCACGTGGAGAGGCTCCACATTTGGAATGCTATCCCGGACGAGGTGACTTGGCAGACACGTTCTCACTCATGGCTTACAATTTTCCTTGTGGGCTGGTTGCATCTGACTCATGTCTCATAAATTACCGCGACTATCATCACCGCATATCGGTAACCACATCCTGTCTCACTTGCTTTCATCTCCGTTCCCCCTCTTATCCTTTCGACTTCGTTTTCGTGCACACTATGGATTACGTAGATTGTTTACTTTTGCTTGAGACAATCGTCTTCTCATAGCACTGTAATTATCACGTACTTATCTTCACACTGTGACCAACCAACCTCCCATTTAGTGATGTGACAGCTGATGGTATCCGGGATCCCTACTGTCTTGAGACAAACACACTCACTCAAATTACAAGATATGTGTAGCGTGGTGTCGAGTTGAGCTTGACTATGAACACCGCTACAAGACTACGTGCCAATTAACCAATAAGATCCCCGTAGGCCAATATCAGAAGACAGATGATGGCTGTAGTCGAGATGTATTTGTTGGCGATCTCGTGGTATCGAAAGAATACCGAGATCGTGCCATAGGAGTACAAGCGTGGTTACTGAGCGTAACCGAATTCGTACAAGTTCAAAGTCAACGGTAAAGTAAGTGAGTATAATGGCTGTCATTAGCACAGTTAAACAAACGAGCGCAGTAAAACAGTCACTGGTACAATTGGTTATAATAATAATTGTTTTCATTGAACCAATCGCGTTCTGTTGACAAAAATAGGTCACTACAGGAGCTCCCCGCTAGAAAGGGTGGTGAAACTCTATTTTATGGACGACCTTTGAACGTACGTTTAAGTGACCTTGAGAACATTAGCCAATCAGAAGAGAGTTAGTATAAAGTAAAAATATATTATGAAAAACTGATGAATTACAATGGATATTCTTCTTCCACATGATTTAGGAACTTGTTAAGGTTTGATAAAGGTTCAGAAGTTCTGAAATCATAATGCATGCGGTATAGGAACTCGTCCATATGGCTCCATAATAACCGTTATCTGGAACCGTGGTAGGGTCTTAAAAAATACTTCAGCCTAGACCACATGCCTTCAATATTTTTTGTATGAACCCCCGTCATTGGATCGACAAAATCACGTATATTCACGGAAGTGTTACTTACCCTATCTTCCTTGATAAATCGTCCTTTGTTGCATTTTCGCTTTCTAATTACCGTCTCATCTATTTCCACTATCTTTCCAACTCCCCCAAACGATTCATGTACTGGTGATCGCGCAAAGAAAGTGCCAGTTCGAGCAGATATTTTTCTCCAACATGTAGTACAACGAAATACAATGTCATCACGGTAGTCTGCACATCGTGCTGCAGTCATTTGATTGCCGCAGTCACAGACACAGGAACTTCTTAATAGTCCCATCTGTTATAGTCGCTCAACAATCACCTCTTCGCTGAAATCTGCTGTAAAACGATCGAATGTGGCAACGCTTCTCGACTCGAACTTAGCGCCGTGACCTTGAACTTCCTCAAACGCCTCTGATTGGCTCGTCCATAAATTAGAGTCCTACCGAAAGGGTTTACACTTTCGATAGTTAGCGGTTTGATTCGTGGGACTGATCGGAGAAGTGCGGTTGTAGGACGGAGCAAATCGGCGGAACAGGAAGTGATTGTTGATCCTCGAGTTGCCAACGAAAGTCTTTTGCGCAGAACGGTACCAGGAGAAGTGTGCTGTATTTGTTGGCCGAGTTAGCATACCACACCAGAGTCGTTTGTATCCAGGATCTGATGATTGCGTTCGTAGGGATGTGAACCAGAAAACACTGCAGACGTAGGACGAAACCACGTTGAGCCAAGAAATCAGAAGCGACCATAACGACCAAGCGTATGCCAGGCGAATTCGAGACCAGATAATCGACTGAGTGCGTTGACTAGAGCGTGGGTGGCCAAACCAGCTTTCGCCAAAGTTGACTGAAGTCGACGTTACCAAACGGGCGATGGTCGGAGGCGTGGGCTCAGGATACCAAAAAATCAAAAAAAGAAAAGTGTAGCATGCGTGTATTATGGGAGTAATCCTACACCGTATCCGTTATTGACTGTGCGTTTAGTCGCGAAAGCGTACGGGTAATCGTACTCGGCGACCGGAACGTGAGACGGTGGTCTCGTTCGTACTTCGTGAGCCTGCGATCTCATCCGAGGTCAAGGGCGGCGTGGTCTGCCGATCTGGACGTGAGACGGAAGTCTCGTCCGTAGATGGTGCAGATGACGCGTGCTGTTGACCGGGACGTGAGAACGAGGTCTCTGATGTATCTAGCGTGGGATCCGAGGTAGATGTAGAGATCCCGCTAGTAGGTTCGATAGGTCTAGCATTGAGTCTCAAGTTATCGGGTAGGGCACTGTCATCGACGTGTGCTGGTTTGAGACGATCAATGCTGACGATCTCGACGCGGCCATGTCGATCAACCTTGAAGGTCTTTTCGTGACGAGAGATCACGTGAAAAGGGCCTTCGTAAGGCTGTCGCAAAGGTTTGCGTACTGAATCTACTCGTATGAAAACATGTGAACAGGTAGATAACTCTCGAGGGAGAGCGACCTGTCGATGTTGTATTCGAGTTGACACCGGAGACAGCGTTCGCATAATTGCAGACAGTCGATGGACGTAGTCTGATTTACCGAAATCATTACTGCTCCGTGGTGTGAAGAATTCCCCAGGCAGACGCAATGTCGTGCCGTATACAAGTTCAGCGGCGGAACATTGAATATCTGCCTTCAAACTCGTTCTGATGCCTAAGAGAACGAGCGGTAAGGTTTCGTAATAATTGTCGTTTTCGTGTGCTTGAAGAGCACTTTTAAGTTGGCGATGAAACCGTTCGACTAAACCATTCGATGCTGGATGGTAGGCGGTAGTGCGTATGCGTTCCGTATCAAGCAGCCGGGTCAGTGAGGAGAATAATGCGGACTCGAATTGTTGTCCTCGGTCAGTCGTGACAGTCGAGGGACAACCGTACAATGCTATCCATCGTTCTACGAAGCGGTGAGCAACTGTCTCCGCCGTGATAGACGTGATGGGAATAGCTTCGGGCCATCTTGTAAAACGGTCAATGCACATGAGTATGTGATCATACCCATGCGATGGTGGCAATGTTCCTATAATGTCTATATGAACGTGATCAAAGCGAGCATCAGGCGTAGCGAACGTGCCAATGGGGGCAGCTACGTGCCTGTGCACTTTTGATCGTTGACACTGTAAGCATTGCTTTACCCACATACGAACATCTTTATTCATGGACGGCCAGACGTATCGTGCAGCAATGAGACGTAAGGTGGCTGCGATACCTGGATAAGACAATCCATGAAGGGCATCGAAGACGAGACGGCGATAGGTAGAGGGTACGATGGGTCGAGGAAGACCGGTAGACGTATCACATAGGATAGTACCTGAGCTAGTAGCTAGGGGTACTTCCTGACACTGAAGGGACGAAGATTGTGGTGCTTCTGTACAGACAGGATCGTTTGCTTGTTCGGCGGCCATAGCAGGAAGATCGAGCACCGTTAAAGTAACTGCATTCGTCTGGATACGTGAAAGAGCATCGGCAACATAGTTCGACTCGCCTTTAATGTGACGAAGGTCTGTCGTGAACTGGGAGATATAGTCCAAATGTCTGCACTCTCGTGGTGAGTAGCGGTCAGACTTGGTATGTAGGGCATACGTTAAGGGCTTATGGTCGGTGAATAAAATGAATTGGCGTCCTTCTACTGCGTGCCGGAAATGTTTGATGGCGCAGTAGGCTGCAAGCAGTTCGCGACCAAAAGCGCTATATCTCATCTCCGTGGGAGTAAGGCGTCGTGAGTAAAATTCAAGCGGTTGCCAACTACCGGAGATACTCTGTTGCATGACGGCTCCTATAGCGAAATCTGATGCATCAACCGCTATACTAAGCGTGGCTGATGGGTCAGGATGAGCGAAAAGTGTAACTTCAGCGAGAGCCGTTTTGATCTCTGAGAATGCAGTACGTGCGGTATCGTTCAATTCTAATTTGCGTGGATTACCGCGTAGTAAATCGGTTAATGGTCGTAACCGTTCTGCAACGTGAAGGACAAAACGTCGGTAGAAGTTAACCAAACCGAGAAAAGCCTTCAGTTCCTTGATTGAGGACGGCACGTCGTACTCCTTGATTGCTCGAACTTTGTCCTCGCAAGGCAGGTGTTGATAATGTTCATCTACGTTTGATGATGCGATCAGCAGGTCATCAATATAGACGTGAACAAAATCCAAGTCTCGTACTATGCTATCGATAAAACTTTGGAAAGTCTGAGCAGCATTCCGTAATCCAAATGGCATTCGTAGGAACTCAAACAGACCGAAAAGAGTCGTGATAGCAGTTTTTTCGATGTCTTCAGGAGCGACTGGGATCTGGTGATATGCTCGTACCAGATCGATTTTAGAAAAGATAGTCGTGCCCTTGAGCGATGCCGTGATGCCGTGTATGTGGGGGATGGGGTAACTATCAAAGCGCGTAACTACGCTTAAAGCTCGTTAGTCACCGCATGGTATCCAACTAACCCCATCCTTTTTGCGCACCATGTGTAAAGGGGATGCCCAAGGACTGTGAGAAGGACGAATAATACCAGCAGATAGTAAATTGTCAAACTCACGTTTAGCGAAAGCTAATTTGTCCGGTGCCAGTCGGCGTGTTCTTGCTGTGACGGGTGGTCCGCGGGTGACTATGTGGTGTACCACACGATTGGTCACCGATGAAATCTCCTCGAATGGTTCAGTTATTCTGGGGAATTTCTCGAATAAGGCGTGGAATTTATCGTCACGCGAATAAAAAGTGCCAAGGATTCGGTACGCGTACATCGGAGTCTATTATATTAATACTATTCTTATCGTTATCGTCATGTCGAGTATATTATATATTAAAAATTAATATGAAAGTATACGACAGACGTGGATAGATAAACAATAGACTCACCGAATTGCCTTCTTTGGAACATTTGACCGAGGTTAGGACGTGTTCCCAGATTTGGCTCACCAATTGTAGCGTGGTGTCGAGTTGAGCTTGACTATGAACACCGCTACAAGACTACGTGCCAATTAACCAATAAGATCCCCGTAGGCCAATATCAGAAGACAGATGATGGCTGTAGTCGAGATGTATTTGTTGGCAATCTCGTGGTATCGAAAGAATACCGAGATCGTGCCATAGGAGTACAAGCGTGGTTACTGAGCGTAACCGAATTCGTACAAGTTCAAAGTCAACGGTAAAGTAAGTGAGTATAATGGCTGTCATTAGCACAGTTAAACAAACGAGCGCAGTAAAACAGTCACTGGTACAATTGGTTATAATAATAATTGTTTTCATTGAACCAATCGCGTTCTGTTGACAAAAGTAGGTCACTACATATGCAAATCCACAAAAATCTGGCTAAGTGACTAGAATTGGTGCAGTCGAGTGGCTAGGCTACCATACATTGGACATCACCATATACCTGAAACCGTACTAAAACAGCAAGAAGTGAGTGCGAAGAAATCAATCGCTTTATGCAAGCTCGTGACAAATATATTGGATATTGTATGTATATGCACATACCACAAATGAAGCCTGTAAACGCAACCTAGCATATAAAATTAATTTTTTCTCCATGTTTCTTCTAAATTTGAACATACAGGTCTGTGCTTAAGCGAACGGTTAATTCACCCCAGCTTGTTAGGAGACATTTTGTCTCGATTCACAACCTCTTGCCCTTGAATTCAACGACCACATTAAGTTTGACCTTGGTTGCTTGATCTGTGTAACAGATGCGTGTTCATCCTTCTCGGTTAGTTCGATTATCTTTGATCTCCCTACTATTCCTACTATGTATCGCTATTATATATATTAAATATGTGGATAAAGCGCTCTCTGGACCTAATTCTATAAGCCAACTTATGCGAAATCCAGATTTTGCAAGTGGAAATAATGTAAAGCCATTTAAAATTGACTGGGAAAACTACTCGCTTACTGCACTTGAAAGTTCGAGAGTAGGACCTGGAGAGAATGGCATGTCTTTCAAACTATCCTCTCTCGATCAAGAACTATCCAATAAAACTATAAATGAGAACGGTTTTAGTGTGTATGTTAGTGGGAAAATCAAAACAGATAGATCTATTAAAGATATCAGCCATCCACGTTGTAAAGGAAAACTATATTCCAGCAACCTTCCTATTGCTTCAGTGATTATCCCTTTTTTTGAAGAGCATTGGGAGACTCTCCTACGCACAATCGCATCCGTTTTGAATCGAGCTCCTTCAGGACTGATAAAGGAAATAATTTTGGTTGATGATGGAAGCTCACGAAAATATCTGAAAGATGAACTTGATAATCATCTCGCGACTGCTTATCCAAGTGGTATAGTACGTGTGATTCACCTGGAACGGAGGGGAGGTCTTATTCGAGCGAAAACAGCGGGCGCCAGAGAAGCTACTGGAGAAGTACTCATTTTCCTGGATTCCCATTGTGAAGCAGGAATAAACTGGCTTCCACCACTACTTGATCCAATTGCTGCGAAATACAAAACAGTTGTTTGTCCATTTATTGATGTAATAAATGCAGATACCTTTGAATATCTTGCACAAGATGAAGGGGCTCGAGGAGCATTTGACTGGGAATTGTACTATAAGCGCCTCCCACGCTTACCAGAAGATAGACATCATCCTGAGGAGCCTTTTGACAGTCCAGTGATGGCAGGAGGTTTGTTTGCTATCAGTGCGAAATGGTTCTGGGAACTTGGAGGCTATGATCCTGGTCTTGTTATTTGGGGTGGAGAGCAATATGAACTATCGTTCAAGATTTGGATGTGTGAAGGGCGTATGATTGATGCTCCGTGTTCTAGAATAGGTCATATATATCGTAAATACTCAACTAACTTTCCGAAAGCAGAATTTGGGGACTTTGTTGGTCGTAATTACAAGTGAGTGAAACAGTTGTACTATTTTACTGAGTATCTAGGACATCATCTACGGTATTTTCCGTCGAGATTTCAAGTTTATTTCTAGCATTCGATAACATTATAGTTTAAGAGAGTACATTGATGTGTGAAAATCGACATATATTTTACTTCGCTCTTTAAATTCCTTAGTGTAATTTTGACCGCAGATTTATGAATTGCGTACTCAATTAAAATCTAAGAAGATTTCTTTAGTGGATTTCAGATTCATGCATTTTCTATGAGAAGTGGTGACACTATCTAACTCTTCAGTGATATATGTTGGCGAAATCCATGCGTTCAGCTTAATAGTCGTAAAACCACAATTCCTTTAATTTTCAACTACATGACAGCTTCAGTGTCTCGGATGTCTTATCAGAACAAATCTTTGTAACTACATCAAAAATCGATCAGTTGACTATATGCCAATGATAGAATTTAATCACTTTAGATTGGTGCAATTTGTAAACGAGAAATGTGCAGGTAAAATAATAATTAAACTTAGATAATAGGTTGTTCAATTTTGAAAGTAATGACACAATTAAAAATGAATTTCAGCCACATGGTCTGGCGTTGCCAGGTGTCGATCTCTGCTATCAATGTGGATTCAGGTTACGATTCAGATTAGTATAAATGGATTTAAATTAGTATCGTATCCCACCACTATACGGTCAGAATGTGACTAGAAAATGCTTATTTTCATGACTATTCAAAGTTTGCTATCACCATTAAGTAAAACATTTAGTTAAGTCATCAGCAAGTTTTGTATCACACGTCACATTAATAGAAAAATATCGCGACGTAAAGTGGTGGGTAAATATGGATAAGGCAGTAACTATCACGATTGAAAAGTTGGGAAACACATTTTAACCTACAGAATATATGTGAACGCATAAAAATTATCATTCTAACCCAGGACACTTCAACAAAAGCTTCATTATGCAAATTTGTTTCGGTAGTCAATTTAATAGGCTGGTCTTTTCTTTATTTCGTGTAACATGCTAACTTGAAAAACTTATATGTGGTCAGTATCTACATAGAAGTAGAGTTATGGACTTTTTGGTGAAGTAGTAAGTAAGTAAGTGAAATAGTTGTGCTGTATTTCAACTAATATCTGTGACCTTTGTTGCATAGTATCAATCGATGTCGAGTTAAGATACTCAAATAAATGACCCCTGATTTACTCAACGAATAAATTTTTTTGAAAATTCTCAAATTAGCCATTTTAATAATTTAGCTGTTTCCCTCCACTACATATCTGATTAACTTGAATAAATTTAGAGGACGAATCATCCTCATACTTTCATCCCAGATCATTCGTCTGTATGAAAATATAACCGAACTACCTGTACAGTGTGACCAGATGCTAGTAGTAATTAAAAGATATGGTCAGTGAAACATCAGTTCTTATAATTTGGTAAATATCAACTTCACTGTCTACTCGTTCTGATATTTTATTCCATATCAGCCCGAAAATGACAAAGGTGAAGGCTGGTCTGCGCGATTGATAAGAATGTTAGCATTCAATGAAGCCTATAATTATTTTCAGTCCTTCAGACTGAATACTTTGGAAAAGCGTTAAAAATATGACTACGAAGCTGATTAGTTCTCTGTTGTTTCAGTTGTGGAAACTATAGGACAGCAGATAAGTTCCCTCAAGTCTCCTCAAAGTAATAGCGTTTTTTCTACTTGATGGGTAGTAACAAGAGGATTTTAAGGTTTGGAATAGTCTGGATTTACAATCCACTCAGACAGGTTGACCACATATAGGTTTACAACAATTTGTGCTATTTAACATACCTGAACAAATTGAGTTATTAGGAAACTTGAATAATCATTTTCTCGTCTCTATATAAACTTAGGCGGTAAAAAGTGAACTCAGTATCACTAGACAGCATGGAATATTAGTGTCATAGATGGGACTTCTATGCGTTACAATCAATGATTTACTCTTGCTGTTTCGTAAATAGTCATCCGTATCCATGCTCAATCTTTCATTTAGGTAATCAGAATCCGGTGTTTGATGTAAGCTAGATGAGCTTACGAAACTGTCTCGACTGAATAAATCCGAATGTCTCTATTTACAACAATCATTTGTCAGTGTCCGATGTTCGGTTCAGTAGATTTACCATTCAAAATACCTTGGAAAAGACGAACAAGTTTAATTCACCTTATAGAAGCATCATCTCAGTCCAAAGCATTTTTGGAACTGTATAATATTTGAAGATGACGAAGCGCTTTAATTTGAGGTTTGAAAACTTATTTGATATCGTAATGAGAAATGATATGCGAAAACTATTTTTCACGTAGTACTGTTTTTAGGGAATAAAATAATATAAAGCCAAGTACTTTTTTGTGTCAGAGAAATGAAAAGAATTGTCTTCATTCCTTTCATTTTCCTCACTTCAATTGTTTACTGTGTCATTTATTAACTTGGTGATTAGCTGCAATAACTTAAGTCGAAGTACTGGAATTAACATTAATTTAATCAATCACTATCAAATAATCTGTGAAAATCCAAAATATCCAGTATTAATAGCTTATAGCGGCTGAAACCTTGTTTCGATTATCAAGTTTCCTTAATCTCACTCTCATGTTACCTTTGATTGATCTCATTTGCTTTTGTTTTCAAGTGTAAGTGCATTCAATGTAGTTACTGGGTTGCCGGCTCATTTTTTCTCTTGTTTTTTCTTCCAGATAATCTCACTTGCTGCTCCTAACACCCTTAATACAAGATACCTTCAGACTAGACACGAATTTACCAAAGGCTGAACGTTATAATATCATCGCAAGGTTACCTAATTTTTCGAAGTTTCAAGAGACATAGATCTAACATATTCCCCTGTTTATCAGCTTGAGGTTCCAATTTTTGCTTTTTTCTCCTTGTCTCTGATTATTCAGAGACCTAAGTATTACTGCAAAGCTAAACTTAATTACCATACCCTGAGGCCATATAGATCTGTTGGAAAACCAGTTTAAAGGATTAGGTTTCAAATGGATAAAGTAAAATTTATGAGATTGGCTAAATATGACTATCATGTTATAAGGTTCTATCATGCTACAAAAAGATCTATTTTTAGTAGGTAATTTCAACAGAGTTACTCAGTCTATGTACACTGCCAACATGTCATTTAAAAATATTTTCCAGAATTTAAGGTTAAGTCACCTAACTCTGAAGTCAAGACAGTTATCACCAAAGAGCTGATTCATCAGCCTGTTCTTGGATTTCTCCACATATTTACATCGTCTGAAGTAAGAATTTTGAAAAATACTTTGTGGTAGGTCGTTCATGTTTATTATCAAGTAGTAGCTGTAACCTCTTCAATATTTCTTACTATATCTGATTACTAGCACTATTGTACAAAACAACTCGCCATGTATTAGATGTAATACATCCTTTTATAATGAGGTGTCATTCAGATTACAGTCGGTATTTCTTGCGCTCAAACGTATTATAAACATTCAGCTAATGAACATAATAGATGAGTATAATACTGAAAGGAATCTAGAGGCTGGTGCTTCTGTATTGATTTTATTCCCAATTATATATTAAGTTAAATGAAATGATTTTGAATGACACCCAGAGTTTTCATATTTGAAATCTCTAATTGTGAGATGTAAATGATTGGAGATCAAAGGATTGGTTTAGCCTATTCCCAATAAACACCGTTTACTCAAACTACTTGCAAACGTGTTCAAATAAGTTTTCGTTACTATTTATGGATTGTAGTTTTTCTTGTTAAATTGCCCCATAGTTCCACGTCTCGTTGTCCAATATCATTTTAGTTGTGTTTAATAATAATGGATCCAGTCCTGACACCAGAAATGATACATATCGGCCCTCGCCATTATAGGAAAAATGCATCAAAGCAATGTTTTGTTCAGTCCTTTCCTACGTCCATTAGTCAAATCGACGAGGTTCCAGATGCTGAAGAAGTAGATATAGATGAAAATGATCCAGAAACTATGGAAATAAATAGGAAAATTATGGTAGTTGATAATGGGTATACCGCTTCAATTAAGGTCCCACCGTTATTTCACAAATTCATTGTTGGTGTTCAACACTCAAAAAAAAAACTGTTAGAAGATGAATTTCGTTGTTACATTGATATCCCGAATTCTGGTTCTAATTCTTCAATGGTCTCCGTTACTGCGACGTCAAAATTTAACGTTTTAAATGCATGTCGTCGTATTCTCTGGATAGTGACTGATGCACGTAATCGCTGTCAACCAACTCATTTCGTTTGTTTACCAGTTACTTGTTCGACCGTTAAAGATAATTTTAAGACATTCAGACAGTCTGTTTTACAAGCTGCTAGTGAATGTTCTTCTCATGATTTTATGGGCGTGGATAGTTCTATCTTTCATTCAGTGTCTACGTTACACTTCACTTTGGTAACTCTTGTGTTGGCTGATGAATCCGAAGTTGAAAAAGCATGTGAAATATTAACGACTTTCTACAAATCTCAAAGAGGTATTCAGTTGTTTGCATCTGGTCCTCTCAAACTGACTATCAAAGACCTTGAATATATGAATGACGACCCTACTTCTGTACATGTACTTTACGCAAAGGTTAGTGTATTTTGTCTTCTGTATTAGTGAGTGTGTTAACCGGTTACGGCTTCACACTTAATACAAGATATGAATGTCTTAATTATCGACTCTATTTCGATTCTTATTATTATATGATGACATGTATTCATGAAGATATGGAGAGTATGAACGAGACGTGAATAAATTTTTACTAAACTGTTAAATAATCTAAGTCGAGTGATTACTGATTAAGGTGTTTATCTTTCGATTATTAGGTTCCTAGTTTTAAGCTCCTCTACCTACTTGAGATTGATCAGTCAAATAGTATCACCTGATCTCATACAAAATGTATATATATATATATATATATATATATATATATATATATATCATTGTCAGTCTTTTAGCTTGACAACCAAAGTTCGGAGCTTGTTCGACAGGTTTTTGTTACCATAAAGGTGTGATATTCGTAGCCAACATGTGAAATATACTCTAATTGCAATACCATTTCCCAAAAATTCTGTAGGACAGTTCCTAAAAATAAAATCAGAGTGGTTATGTAGGAATAAGCACGAGAATATCAGTTTGTTGACCTCTTAAAAGTCTCAGTTTATTAGTCCTCTATATTTGATTTTTCTCCAATTACAAAGTGGCATACCGTATATATGATAGGAATCTTTTGTCATTTTTACCGATTATACGGATATGAGTTACTCCAGCTAATAAATGTCTTACCGCATTATCCAACTTTAGTTTGTTAATCAGTCGAATAAAACGTGAGATTCGGGAACACTATACATTGACCCAGTTTCCACACTTCGTTGCGAGATGAAATTAATAAAATGCACTCCATAGTTGGCCGATTCACATATACATTGTATATGACTGGTTGATTGATAAGTTGATCGTAATTAGCTGAATATGTTGACTAATATGATGACTTTGCTTAGACTGATAAATAATTTGTTTTTTTCTCAATTGATTATTTCTGCTTTTGTTTTTAATCATTTTACGTTAGCTGATGGAATCATCGGATTCACAAAGACTACAAACAATTGCTAATGAACTATTCAATCTACTTGCTGAACAAAATCTAACCAGCACTGGGTCATATCGTCCGGATAATAATGTAAAATTACATATGACTTTGCTTAATTCTAAATATCGTCAGGAAAAAAGCAATCGTGACGCTTTATTTCAAGGTTTCTCACCTAATACTCGTACGTCGTTCAGCGTAACCGGGATTTTAAAAATTGCAGGAAATTTTTACTTTACTGAAAATCAGTCTTTTCATCAAATTTGTTTGTGTGATCGTTTGTCATTTGATTCTTCAACTGAGTTTTATAAATGCTGTTGTAAGCTAGAGTTCATTACTGATGGTATCCATTGTTCTCACACGCTTAAAATGTGAATAGCTTTAGTTTGAAATATTTCATTTTAAGTCTTTCATCTACATTTTATGATTTGTGTATTCCGAAAATCCAATTTCCCAGATTATTTCCTGAGTTATTTGATGACAGTTTGATAACAAGACTATCTCAATACTGTGTACAGTTTTATTTTATACCACTGTTCTCTTCGGTTGTACAATCTTTCTATGTAACCGCGATGTTCCAGAAAAGTAATTACTCGAATACATAATGAGTTTTCTATTTCTTCAGTTTGTCATTTCGCATACAAACTGCACTAATATTTCTAATAATAACAGATTTTTTCTGACTGTAGATAGGATAATATTAGCTAGTTATGTCTACAGTTAAGATTTTTACTCAAACATATTATTTATTTTATAAACTTAAGTCTACATGACTGAATGATTGGATCAACTCTAGTTATTCTACTCGTAGTTGAGTAACTCAAAATAAAATACTATTGTTAGTTCATTTTTATAAAACGTACACTTGTAACTTTCATATAATTTAAATCATGAAACTTAATATTAGTTAATATAGGGTGGTTGTAAAAATTGTTGGATTTCATAACATCCATTGATCTAAGATAGTTACTGAAAACTAGCTAGCTGTTCCATTCTAAAATGAGACTGCAAAGCTGTGTATGTACACGACGCAGGGTATTAAGGAATGGTGGTAAATCAGTTGATGAAGTTATGAATCTTCATCGACTGAGATGGTTGGGCCACGTGTTGCGTATGCCTGAACACCGGTCACCACGACGCGCAATGATGAATATTGTCGGGGATGGTTGAAAAAAAGTTGGGGAGGCCAAACCAGAACGTGGCATCAGTGCTTGAAGTCACTAACTTCTAGTCGTAGCCATGTTGGTAACTGCAGACTACTTGGTTGGGGTCTGCGTGACGATCGTAACCAGTGGTTGGAGACTTTGGGTGACATGGCTCAGAATCAATCACAATGTTGTCGGTGTATACACTCTGTTTTCTTTTAAACTATGTGTTGGGATGGCCACCTATGTGCATAGTCGATTGACGGACTTATCGATTAAATGTTTAAATATTTGAATAGCAGTCAATTGACGAACTTATTGATGAATATTTAAGAATTTAAATGACAGTGTCGATTATATATATTGTATATTTTGATTCTTGTCAATAAGTGCTCACAAACGTCTCTCGTCTTCTTACTTGCGAGGGGTTGGAGGTTCTAACGTTCGAGTGTCATCTGTTATGTAGTGTTCGTGCGTATTTAAGCAGAGAACTTAACAGTGGCGACGGATTTTACAATCAACAATGCCAATTACCTTTAAACAAATAGAATCTTTGCTGGAACGTCAAGGAAAACGATATGAACAGTTCCAGGAGCGTATGCTGAAGATGTTAGCGAAACAAATGAATCTGAATAACAGAGGTCTTACTGATGATTCATGTAGTACGCATACAGACTCGATAATTAATTCCATTCAGGAATTTCATTTTGATGGCCTAGCTGGTTAGACTTTCGAGTCTTGGTTCAAGAAGTATGAAGATTTGTTCAAGGTCGACTGGATGACGCTGCCAAGGTCAGAATACTCTTGAGAAAGCTTGGCACGATTGAACATGAACGTTATAGTAATTTCATCCTCCCAATGAATCCAAGAGATTTCTCTTTTGATGCAACAATCGAAACTCTGACGCAAATCTTCGCTGAACAATCATCTCTCTTTAATATTCGTTATCAATGCCTCAAAATAACGAAGTCAAATGAGGATGATTGGGTAAAACATGCCGGCCTAATAAACCGTGAACGTGAACGATTCAAACTAACATCAATGACCGAAGACCAGTTTAAGTGCCTCGTGTTTGTGTGTAGCCTACAATCTCCCGAAGATGCTGATATAAGAACCAGAATCTTAAGCAAAATTGATCAGTGCCCAAACATCTCACTACAAGAAATGACTGCAGTGTCAGAGTGTAGCGGCAAATAATTCCCCAAAATCAAATAGCTCTGTAAGTTTTCGACATTGGATGCTGACCACAGTTTTAGTGGACTCATCTAGCTGAAGGCGCTCGGTCAAGCATCCGCACCAGATCACGTGTGGGAACGCCGTGCTCAACATCTGCCTCAATCGCTAACCAGATTAGTGCAAACGATCCTCGATATATTGATAGCTTATCAAATATATCTTCGATCTCCTCGCTTCTGTCTTTTGATTTTACTTGGTGGGTGCGCTTCGTATTAGAAGGTGTTACTGGTTAAAGCGTTGTCAAACTCCGAATACCTGTGGCATCTTCATTGGTGAGCCCGACGTGATCTGGTACACCATATTGTAAACTGTGAGTCTGTTCCTTTTTGTGATTTTATATATCATTGTCTTATTTTAATTTCTTTTTTTTACATTGTGATATTTTTTTTCGTGTTTTTGGGTTCATATATATATTTGCCACTCGTTCACTTTTCGTACTTGGTATATTACTATGACTGAACAGACCCCTAAAGTATTTAAGTTAAAGACTGTGTCCCCACCCTCTTTCCAACTTATGCCTTTCTGGCCAGACAACATCGAAGCCTGGTTTTGTTATGCAGAAGCCGACTTCTACGAGCACGGTGTGAACGATGCGCGTGCACAATTCCTCGCAGTAGTCAAGGCACTACCGCGCGAATTCAACAGGTACGTAACACCTAGTATGTTTACTAGTGATGTTTCTGATCCATACCAAACACTCAAACAGGCCATCCTTAAACGCGGAGATCTAACCGATCGACAAAGGTTAGACCAACTCCTTAACAACATCGACCTGCAACACGGTTCTGCCACAGACATGTTGCAAAGAATGCGAGAAGTCATTGGCCAAAGAACCTTCGATGACGGCCTATTCAAGCAACTTTTCTTATCCAAACTTCCTCAACAGGTGCAAGCTGTTTTGGTCTCGTTCCAAAACAACGCCGTAGACGAACTAGCGGCATCTGCCGATCGCATTCTCGAGATCACTAGGTCTCCTAACGCCGAGGTTTTTTCAGTCAAAGAAAAGCCTCAAACGACCCAGAATGACATAATACAGTTATGTCATACACTTACGCGTTATCTCAAACTCGGTAACAGCCGTAAACGATCACTTACCCCGCGGAGAAGCACATCACGTAGGCGATCTGTATCTAGAACTCGAGAGACGGATAATCCTGATTGGTGCTGGTACCATAACCAGTACGGAAAGTCTGCCAGAAATTGCAGAAAACCCTGCAATTTCCCCAACGCGAAATCCGTCGACGCGAAGAACGTTTCGGGAAACTTCCAAGCCGGCACGCGTTAACGGCGACCGTAGCCGGCGAACATAGCCGTCTTTTATATGTCACTGATGTGATAACGAGAGTTCGCTACCTCGTAGATACTGGCGCAGAGGTTAGCGTTCTCCCAGGGAATTCCGACGACAGGCTACACGAGCCTGTTTTAAATCTACAGGCGGCAGACGGAAAGCCTATCGCTACTTATGGCCAAAGGTATGTTTATCTTAACGTGGGTTTACGCAAACCCATTCACTGGATTTTTGTTGTTGCAGATGTTTCTATGCCAATCATTGGTATGGAGCTTCTACAACACCACAACTTAATTATCGATACGCGCAAACGGAGGTTAGTAGACGGAAACACTAATTTATCTGTTTGCCTGACTTCTTTTTCTGGTTGCAGGTTATCCCCAGTCACTATTAAGCACACTATAGACCCCTTCTACCAGCCACTACTCGATAAATATTCTGGCATTTACCAATCGCAACCGAAATTGCCGTGTGTAACCAGCAATGTTACACATCACATCACGACTACAGGACCACCTGTATTCTCGAAAGCACGCCGACTGGCCCCCGAAAAGTTAAGGTTGGCGAAAAACGAATTCGACCATATGATAAACTTAGGAATCATACGACCGTCAAATAGCCCATGGGCATCTCCGTTGCACATGGTCCCTAAAAAGGACAGCAACGATTGGCGTCCAACTGGTGACTATCGGAGATTGAATGCAAAAACCATTCCCGATCGTTACCCGTTACCCCACATTCACGATTTGACAGCTACCTTGAAAGGTGCAACTGTCTTTTCAAAAATTGACTTGGTAAAAGCTTATAACCAAATTCCTATGGCCACTGAAGACATTCCAAAAACCGCTATTATAACGCCCTTCGGACTCTATGAATTTTTGCGAATGCCTTCCGGTCTGAGAAACGCGGCACAGACTTTCCAAAGGTTCATAGATGACGTTTTTCGAGGTCTCAACTTCGTACATGCATACGTTGATGACTGTCTAATAGCAAGTCCGGACAGAGAATCACATCTCCAGCATCTGGATCTTGTTTTCGACCGACTACAAAAACATGGCATCACTGCAAACATTCAGAAATGCCAAATCGGAACCGAATCCTTAGACTTCTTAGGACACACTATAGATGCGCATGGCATTCGACCCCTTAGAACGAAAGTGGTGGCCATTCTGGATTACCCAGAACCGACCACCATCAAGCAATTGCGCACGTTTAACGGTCTGGTAAGTTTTTATAGACGATTCATACCGAAATGCGCGTTACTTATGAAACCCCTTACCGACCAACTTCGTGGAAATGCGAAATCCATTAATCTAGATGACACTACCCGAAAAGCATTCTCCACAGTTAAGGAACATATCGCCCGAGCAGCAATGCTTGCTCATCAGGACCCTAAAGCGCCCATTAGCATCTCAGTAGACGCATCCGACTCAGCAATCGGAGCAGTCCTACAACAATGGGTTAACCACTCCTGGCAACCTTTGGCATTTTTCTCTAGACGGTTGCTAGACACTGAATCGAGGTACAGCACATTCGGTAGGGAACTCCTAGCTATGTATTGTGCTGTCCGGCATTTTCAACACTATATCGAAGGCCGTGAATTTATCATTTTTACCGACCATAAACCACCTACTTCTCCTTAAGCTCTTCTTCGGACAAGTACTCACCACGTGAGTCTCGACAACTGGACTGCATTTCGCAGTTTA